CCGCGGCAACTTGTGCCAACTCGCGTATGAAGCTGTGATAGTCCCATACTGCCTCGGTTCAACTGGGATGGTGGGCTGGGGCTTATGTGTCCTTCTATAGTATATATAGTAATATACAATAAGAGTATATATATATATATATATAAAGATGGCATATACTAAGTCTATACGGAATAATGTATATGTCCATGCCAGGGGTGCCAAGATCATGGCCCTTGCGAGCTTTATGACAGGTGGCAGACTCGCCTGCGTTGTCGGATGGCAGAACTTCGCAGAAGTCCTCAGGGCAAGCCCGCACTAACCCCAAAGCCTACAAACTCTATGCCCCAAGCCCTGAAACCCAATCCCTCCTAGAACTCCTTTTTTACCCTCTCTGCTGAAACTCCCAAGGCACCATTAAAAAAACCCATCTGCCACCGCTTTTAGCGGTGTGCGAGTCGGAGCCTCGTCTCCTTCAGCGACCTTGGAGGACTTTTGGCGCGTCCGGACCTTGTTTTGAGCGGTTGAAACTCCTGAAGGTGTAGAGCCTTAGGGTGTGGTACAGGTTGAAATTACGGCTCCTATTGTGGGTCTGGGGTTAAGTACGTCGTGAAAGAACCTCAACACTCTGGCCTTGCAGGTTTGGCGGGGAGATGAGATCGTCAGCACTCTGTTCTTCCCCCTCTGAGGAGGCGGCCCACACGCAACAGCAGGCCCCAAGCGAGCAGCAGAAGCCAAGAGACAAGAGAGCCTGAGGCCCCGGGACAGAGAATCTGCTGATGCACAATCCAAAATATAACTTGTCACTTGAGACACCGCGAGGAGCGGGTCTCACCGTCATAAGAACCGTGCGTTCGTAGTGTCGTCACACTTGGTGTTGTTTAAGCACCAACTTGCTCAAGGGCCAAGGAACAGCCAAGCTCGCTGATTGCACCTCTTCGCCGTCTCCCGCCAAGGAGCCCTGCGGTGCTTGGGCGAGTCGGGGGGGAAAACAAAAGAGATCCGTGTGACGTAACTTCCTGCGAGCCTCGAGGAGGAACGGGAACTCCCTGAAAGAAATGCAGGAAGCTGGTGGCTTCAGTAAATGAAGAAGGGTAGCTTTCCTTGTTTTTTGCCTGAGAATGAAGATCTTATACATCCGAGCCTCACACTCGGATACACGGATCGATGTAGCTCTAAGTTCTACCGAGTCTTCCAAGATTTTCTCAACACTCCCTCCTGGTGCAGCGATCCAACTGAGGCTCGGGCAATGTAGAGGTCTGCGTTGTGCTGACGCTGGTGGTCACAGCTGATCTTGGAAAACGGACGCATCGCGTGCAGCGGAAGCAAGGAAGGAGAGCCCTAAACAAAAGTCGACATGGACCATGACCACGACCGGGTCGGATGCCTGCTGGTGGAAGCAGAAGTTGAAGTCAAACTCCTTAGCACTACAAAGCCGTCCAAATGACAACAAAGCAGCTGTAACCAGAACTGTGCTGAAACAGTGAAGAATGTGTGCTTGTTGAACTAGCACTTGAAGTTGCACTCCTCAGTCCACCGGTTCTCCGACAATGACGACAGAGTTGAATGGTTGCGTATGTGAAAGTTTTAAGCCTTCGACTAAGACTTTCCCCTCTAGCTAACAGCTCGCAGTCCAACTCTTTTGGTCATGCTTGAACCACAGTCGAACCTTCGGCGGACAAAGGAATGAGACATATTAACGGTACACTTACAAGTGCTAGCAGTGAAATGAATAGTTTGTTACCTTGGGAGGAATTAGCAACTAGTAGCCGGCTGTGCTGAAACCGGGCTGCATGCGTGCTTGTGGAGTATGCATTTCAAGTTGTCTCCACCGCTGTTGCTGGGGGCTGTGCTGAAACAAGGTCGAATGTGTGCTTGTGGAACCAGTGCTTGAAAGTGTCATCCTCAGTCCGTGCACTGGTTCACAGCGACAGCATGATAAGAGATGTTGCCTTCGGGCTGTGCTGAAACTGGGCTGTGTGCGTGCTTGTGGAAGTAGCGCTCGAATTTGTTGTCCTCAGTGACCGATAGTTCAGAACTGACAGCATTGACTGTTGCTGGGGACTGTGCTGAAACAAGGTCGAGCGTGTGCTTGTGGAACCAGTGCTTGAAAGTGTCATCCTCAGTCCGTGCACTGGTTAACAGCGACAGCATGATAAGTTATCGATAAGGATGTTGCCAGCGGGCTGTGCTGAAACTGGGCTGTGTGCGTGCTTGTGGAAGTAGCGCTC